GTGGAGAGAGGGGAGGACGGATGGAAAGGTGGAGAAAGGGAGGGAAGGGAGAGGAAAGGAGAGGAGAGCGGGAAAGGAAGGAAAAAAGAAATTAGGGTGAGGAGGGTGACACTGAAGGGAGACAGTTATAAAGGAACTAAGGGAGATGGAAGAGGAAAGAGAGGAAGGGAATCAGCGGGAGGAGAAAAGAAGAAAAAAGAAAAAACGAAGTGGGAGACAGCATAAGAATACTAATGGGAATTAGAGAGAGAGAGAGAAGAGAGAGAGAGAGAGAGAGAGAGAGAGAGAGAGAGAGAGAGAGAGAGAGAGAGAGAGAGAGAGAGAGAGAGAAGAGAGAGAGAGAGAAAATGAAAGAAAAGAGAGATGAGAAGAAAGAAAAGAAGAGGAGAAAAAAAAGAAGAAAGAGAGAGAGAGAAAATGGGGTTACACATGTGGCGATGGTATCAATCGGTGATGATGTGGACACTCGCGCGAGGAACAGGTGCTCGCGAGCTCTCTCCCGAAGACCGCCCGCGCGCTCTCCCTCCCCGAGTCGTAATACGGTCACGATTTACGGTCCGGCTCTTTCGGGTTGGCAAATGCTGATCTGTCGTTCTGTGCTGAGTCTTTCTGGCTTCTGTCTCTGTCTGTTTTCCTGTCTGTCTGTCTGTCTTAGTCTGTCTCTGTCTCTCACTCTCATCTCACTCTCACCTGACTCTCTCTATGACTCTGGACTCTGACACTGACACTGACTCTGACACTTCTGACACTGACTCTGACTCTGACTCTGACACTGACACTGACACACTGACACTGACTCTGACTGACACTGACACACTGACATGTGATTGCTGGACACTCACTCTCACTCACTCTCTAACACACTCACTCTCTCACATCACTCACCACACCCACACACACACACACAACACACACAACACACACACACACACACACACCACACACACACACACACACAACACACACACACACACACACACAACACACACTTACATACATACATATAAACACACACACA